TTTGTCCAAAAACATTTGTAAAGCCATGCAATAGAAGAGGCTATGCAAAAGCTATGCAATATAATCCGTCAAAAGCGCTATGATAGTGATAATTATTGCTGTTATAAACGTGCGAGAATAAAGATAATGATAAAATAACGTACAAATATCACGTATTATTATTTGTAAAAATATCGTTGACAGTGGCTAGCAGTGCAAAATAAGATTGACAATTTTCAGTATTAATTCTTTTGTAAAATTTTACAGTCTTTACAGCATGGCTGCTTCCTAAACATTCACAGCATCTTATCTAAACTTACTCTTCTAATATTTCTTAACTTTCCAGTAATAGCAGATTCAAAAATTACAAATAATACTTCAGAATCGTTTGAAATTAATTTTTGCAAAAAATATAATAATCATAATTTACATAAGAATTAACTTTTTTAGTTATCAGTAATACTAAAAAATGCTAAAGAAAACTTGACAGATTCAAGCATAAGATTATCCACTATGAATGAAATCGTGTGATGCTGAACTAACTTTTAGACTAAAAGTGTTCATAGAATTTTTTAATTAAAACTTTTTAAAAGCTTGTGAAGTCTTGACAAACTTTTATCCTATCAGACTTGAATTTAATTCTTACAGCTAAAAGTAATGATGATAAAGCAAATTTGCAACTTGCTGAAATGAGAAGGATTTATAACTTAGTTTCTTGCCAATTTTCCACCACATAACAATGTTATAGTATAGAATAACTTTTTTGCTGCTGAAATTTTTCATAAGTTAAATAACTAGAAAGCAACCTTCAGCTAGCATGTCCAGTATCATCAATCCATTGAAGTTAACTCCTGAAATGAAACCATTGTAACTATCAAAAATTCGTTCACGTTTTCGTCGTTTTGTTCGGTGAAGTAAATTAAATGAGGCCCCAATGGTCAATCGCCATTGCATGTTTAAAGTAACCAAGTCCATTTCTGTTCCTAAAATTACTTTAAATAAAAGAAATAGGAGGGAAATTTGTTCAAAAACTGAATAAATCTTTTAATTTGATTTTTAACAAAAACTTAGATTGCTAAGCATTCAATGAAATAGTTTGAATTTACTGTGATTTGATTGTTATAAAAAGAAATGATAATTTTTTGCAGTGCTGTGTATTTCATTAAATATAAAAAAATAATTTACCCGAAGGAAAGTAATATATTGGCTTGCGATCATCAATGTATAATGTCAGATTAGCTTCTTGCCGATAAGTAATTACTGCATGATGGACGTCATCATTAAGCGTTGCATCCAAGAAACTTACGTGATGATCACGTGATCCGAGATTGTAACGAATATGCAAATAACCATCTTTCTGAAATTAATTACAGTAAATGTCCAATGAAATCATTAAAAAAATTTGAAGATATAATTTAGAATATTAATGTAATTTTCAATTACACAATATGTTTAATGTTTTACTAAGTTTTCATCTATTTCTAAAACAGTTAAGCAGACGTCAAAAATGATTATCAGCGTAAATGTCTTAAATTAATACTTTCTTATTGTGTTGATCGTTGCACACGTAAGCATTCCAAAGTTTAGATGGAAAAATACTTTAAAATGGAACAAGAATTAATTAATAACTGAATTAAGTAAAGAAATAATTTGAAAAAGAAAATTTAAATTTAAATTTTCACCAAGAAGACAGTAAAGAAATCTCCGTCAACTTTGCAGTGAACACTAAACAGAACGGCGCTTGCTTGTCGAGTACGGAATCCAACTGCCAGATAGTCCTGATTTGTGGATGGTCTGATGGACCTCGGATATTCGTAGTAAATTGCTGATGAGGCAGAATCGAATATATATGTTGTGGCAGCTAAGAGTGAAGGAAGAATATTTTTTCATATTTGCCATTTTCAGTAATTGTTCAAATTTTATTTACGTTAAACATAAATCAGTAATTACATGATTCAGCTCATTAAGGATGTGAGTTTCAGAGCAGTTGCTTCCGCAGCTTCAAATCCTCCACTGATTGACGTGATTTTATATAATCAATTTGGATGAGTCATTCAGAAGAATCATCAAGTTTTTTCATGCTTTTTGAATAATCTAATAATTCTTGTTGGCAGCCATCAAGTTTTCACGCTTGTGTTTTATTAATCAAAAATCAAAATTTTGATTCCAATTTTGACGAAAACTTACGACTTTCGCATTTTTCGCCTCCAAAAGTTGTCATTGAGCAATCACATCGAATTGATTCCCAATGTTGAATGCATTTACCACGATTTGAGCAGTATTTTGGTGTGCAACGAATACGTGGACCTGAAAACATTTCACGTAAACAAGATAATCGAGAGGTTTTGTTAGATAATACTTAACAAGCAAAGGTGCTTAAAGAAAATATAAAAATCAACCTTTTTGGAGATATATGAAAAATATTAGTTCATTACTTTTTTGTTGAAAGTAAAAACTTTACCATGACATCCTTTTACCACGCCATAACTTTTTGAAGCATCTCTTGGAAGGTCCACATAATCAGTGCCAAGTCGAAGTGAAGAAATACATCCTCGGAAGCCAGGAGCGTCCTTAAGTCTGAATATTGCAAGTGCTCAACTAAAATTATGTTTACAGTAAAAGCAAATTTAATCATCCATTAATGATATTATGGATTCTGGAGATATTTTCGTAATGAGCTTGAAATGTCATGCAGAACTATAGTTTCTACAAAATTGCTTACAGTACTGTGAAGAATCATTCTTAAAAAGTACACAAAGTAGTATAAATACCCTGGAGAGAGCAGAACATCGGGTGGTGTGCTTCCGATATAGAAATTTGCTTTGAATTTTACGGGATGACTCGGTAAGGCATCCATTATAGTACTAGTATTATCTACTACCATATAATGTTCCGCACCTGGTGTCATCTGAAACTGGTAACTTGCTAATCCCCACAATGAAAAAAATTATAAAATAAGTCTTAAAATGAGCGCATCTTCTAGTATATTGAATTCAAATGCAATTTTATAGCTCAGCTCTAGTCACTAATACAATAAACTACTGTTTATGTACAGTAAATTTGCTTGTTTCAATTTGTCAGTATTATTCTAGAATTGGTTCGATTACATTAAGCATAAATCACTTTA